AGCAGTGACTCTGACAAGGATTTAAGAGTCACAATGGACCAGCAACTTAACATGAGCTTTCAGTGTGATGCTGTGGCAAAAAGGGCTGATGCGATCCTTGGATGTATAAGCAGGAGAATAGGCAGAAGGCGTAGGGAGGTGGTTTTACCTCTGTATATGGCATTGGGGAGACGGATACTGGAACGCTGCTACAGATCTGGTGTCCGCATGCTTTAAAAGGACGTGGAAAAGCTGGAGAGGGTGCAGAAAAGAGCACCAGAGATGATCTGAAGGCTGGAGAAAATGCCTGAGACCGAGAGACTTAAAGAGTTTATCAAGATGAAGAGTGAGAGGTGACTTGCTTACAGTGTATAAACACCTTCATGGGAAGAAAATAGCCGGTAGTAAGGGGCTCTTTAATTTAGCAGAGAAAGGCAGAACAAGACCCAATGGCTGGAAGTTGAAGCCAGACAAATTCAAAGATGAAATAAAGCACAATTTTTGAACAGTGCGGATGGTTAATCGCTGGAATAAATTACCCAGGGAAGTAGTGGATTCTCCATCTCCTGATGTCTTCAGATCCAGACTGGATGCCTTTCTGGAAGAGATGTATTAGCCAAACAGAAGTGATTAGGCTCAATACAGGGGTAACTGGGCTGTGTGGTACAGAAGGTCAGAGTCGATGATCTAAGGACCCTTCTGGCCTTTAACTCCAGGAATGTATATATACCAGGGACATTTCGTGAGCCAGGCCTAAAGTCTGCATGGAAGTATTGTTGTCCTGTGTAATTTAACTGATAAAGTGCTGCAGTGTTATCTGGAGCATTTAACCTCTGGAAGGGTTCACCATAGGTGAATTTGCAATGAGGCTCTTAAACTTTTCTCTGTTTCCCTTTAACACCAAGGCAGAGGACCTTATTCTGATCTCACTTACCCCAGCGCAAATCTGGAGCAGCAACATTTGGTTTACAGTCATGCCTATAGGACCCAACTGAGATCAGAGCCCCATTGTGCTAGGTGCTGTACATATATTACTCATGATGTACACCAGGGTGAGAGCACAATCGGGCCTGTACAGCTCACCTCCATACCCCAATCTTCCCAAAATTCAGGGCTGCTGCAATCTGGGATTTTGGTTTGGCTCACATGACCTAGAATTGAATGACCAGATGGACCTAGAATTGAATTCTCCTGTAGATCAGAAGTGTCTGGACCAGCCTCCATCTCTTTTCTTACCATGGCTGGGGTGAGCTGATCTTCCCCATATCTCCTGCCACCCCTTGATGCCTTTCCTGGAAGGTAAATCCCTTCTCTCTGTGTGCCAAGAGGCATGGTGCCTGGGGGACTGGGTTCTTTGTCTCCTTCTCTGCCTCTCCTGCACTCTGTCCTTTCTCTTGTCTTCTCCTCTCTCCTGGTGATCTCCAAACCCATATGGTCTCTTCCCTCCTCTCCTCATCCTAGCTGTCTCCCCTCTCTCCACCCCATTGTCTCATCGTCTCTCTCCCTTCCATCTCTCACAACACATTACTTTTACCTCTTTATCCCCTCCCTGTTAGTGCTCTGTCCAATCCACCCATTTCCCCTGGACAGTCCCGTGCTACAGGGCAGGAATCAGTGGCCCAGATTAAATGCACCAGCAGCACCAGGTTGGGAGCTAGGTCATAGAGGCATTCTTGAATTTTCACCCGCTGCCAAGCTCTTGCCCTCTGCATGTAGAAGAGCAAGAAGCAGCTCTTGTCCTTTGTATTACACAGCCCGGTATGGAATGAGCTTTAAAGCTGCGGCCCACTTGCAATGCTCTGTCTATACCCGTCTGTCACAACATGCCCAAACACCAGGTTTATTAGGGTTCTTTTCCAAAATCAATCCTGCTTTCCCTCTGCACTAATCAGTCCCTATTCTGTTCAGTAAGCCATCACTGCTGGCTATATCCCTCCTCTCTAGCTGTCTCTATGGGGGAGAGGGTGAAATCCCCCTGTCTCTTTCACCCTCTCGTCCCCATTTCCTTTAGGCCAGGACACTCACCAGACTTTCCCCCGCTATAATGTCAACTCTCTTTTTTTTCTCACATTTGGCAAACAATATGGGAATGCTTTCTCCTGCCCCCCCAGATTCTGCCTGAGGCTAGGGCTGTGGGCTGGGCTAGGCTAGGGCTCAGGCAATGGCACCTTCCCCCCACCCCCCAACCTCCAATCTGCTGTTCCTCTCTATCCCTTTGAATTCAACTGCTGTTTCCCAACTGCCATGGAACCGTCCACTGTCCCTTCAACAGGACATTATTCGGTGGCTGTTGTCACCCAGTCTGGCTCCAGCAAATGACATCGCTCCTTGCAGAGGGACACACCATTCCTCTTCTTTGCGCTGGAATGTGTGTGCACATTTGGGAGTAGGAGTGGTTTATGGTGCTTGATACTTGGGATGAGTGAAAACACTGTACAGGAATCACCTGGATATCAGCTGGATATGAAACAGTGGTGTGCCCTTGTTGCCAATAAGGCCAGCGCATATTGGGTTGTATTAGTAGGAGCATTGCCAGCAGATCGAGGGAAGTGATTATTCCCCTCTATTCGGCACTGGTGAGGCCACACCTGGAGTATTGCGTCCAGTTTTGGTCCCCACACTGCAGAAGGGACGTGGACAAATTGGAGCGAGTCCCGTGGAGGGCAATGAAAATGATTAGGGGGCCGGGGCACATGACTTACAAGGAAAGGCTGAGGGAACTGGGGTTATTTGGTCTGCAGAAGAGAAGAGTGAGGGGGGATTTGATAGCAGCCTTCAATTACCTGAAGCGGGGTTCCAAAGAGGATGGAGCTCGGCTGTTCTCAGTGGTGGCAGATGACAGAACAAGGAGCAATGGTCTCAAGTTGCAGTGGGGGAGGTCTAGGTTGGATATTAGGAAACACCATTTCACTAGGAGGGTGGGGTGAAGCGCTGGAATGGGTTACCTAGGGAGGTGGTGGACTCTCCATCCTTAGAGGTTTTTAAGGCTGGGCTTGACAAAGCCCTAGCTGGGATGATTTAGTTGGAGATTGAATCATAGAATATCAGGGTTGGAAGGGACCTCAGGAGGTCATCTAGTCCAACCCCCCCCCTGCTCAAAGCAGGATCAATCCCCAATTTTTGCCCCAGATCCCTAAATGGCCCCCTCAAGGATTGAACTCACAACCCTGGGTTTAGCAGGCCAATGCTCAAACCACTGAGCTATCCCTCCCCCCATTGGTCCTGCTTTGAGCAGGGGGTTGGACTAGATGACCTCCTGAGGTCTCTTCCAATCCTAATATTCTATGATTCTATGATCCTTCTGGATCAGGTGGTCATAGCTCCTTGGATGATCAATTCCCTGCAGAAAGACAAGGTGGGGGAGGTAATATCTTTTATTGGACCAACTTCTGTTGGTGAGAGAGACAAGCTCGGAAGTGTGTCTCTGTCAACAATAAGAGTCGGTCCAATAAAAGATATTACCCAACCCACCTTGTCTCCCTAATATCCTGAGACCAACCTGCCTACAACACACCTCAGAAAGACAGACAAAGCTGGCCACCTTAGACTCTCAGATACCCTATGGGGTCGTGATCCTGAGACGTGCTGAATGCCCTCCACTCCCATTGACTTTACAACACCCCTAGTGCCTTTTCTAAAGATGGGTACAACATTTGGTACCCTCCAGTCATCCCGTATAGCAGCTTTTTAAAAAATGCTGCAGCCCAACCTCTGGGACCCTCCCACTTTGCAGGGTCCTACAGCCAGGGATCCAGCCCAAGCCCTAAAGTCTACACCACAATTAAACTGCCTCTTAAACCCAGCCCGAACAGCCTGAATCAGCTGCAGGTGTCTAACTGCAGTGTACAGTAGACAGACCCTTAGAATGTACTGCTGGTTAGGTAGGAATCTGGGACTTCAGGGTAAGAGAGAATGGGGTGCTGGGGTTGGGCTGGGTCCCAGGGGATTGTGGGTAACAGAGAGCAGGACATTGGGACTCGGTCTGGAGTATTCTGGGTAATAGACAAAAGAGGGTGCTGGGGCTAGCTAGGCTGGGTCAAGGGATTGTGGGTCACAGAGAAGGGGACATTGGAGGTGGGCCCCAGGGGACTGTGGGTAACAGAGAACAGGACATTGGGGCTTTGCCTGGAGGATTCTGGGTAACAGACAAGAAGATGCTGGGACTTGTCCCTGGGGGATTGTGGGTAACAGTGAAGTGGGTGCCAGGGCTGGGCCCCAGAGAGATTGTGGGTAACTGAGAGGGGTACATTGGGGCTGGGCCGCAGGGGGATTGTGGGTAACAGCGAAGGGGACATTGGGGCTGGGCCCCAGGGCATTGTGGGTAACACAGAACAGGACATTGGGGTGTGGCCTGGAGGATTCTGGGTAACAGACAAGAAGGCGCGGGCTGGGCCCCAGGGGATTGGGGGTAACAGAGAAGGGGACACTGGGGCTGGGCCCCAGGGCATTGTGGGTAACACAGAACAGGACATTGGGGTGTGGCCTGGAGGATTCTGGGTAACAGACAAGAGGCGCTTGGGCTGGGCCCCAGGGGATTGTGGGTAACAGCGAAGGGGACATTGGGGCTGGGCCCCAGGGCATTGTGGGTAACACAGAACAGGACATTGGGGTGTGGCCTGGAGGATTCTGGGTAACAGACAAGAAGGCGCTTGGGCTGGGCCCCAGGGGATTGGGGGTAACAGAGAAGGGGACACTGGGGCTGGGCCCCAGGGCATTGTGGGTAACACAGAACAGGACATTGGGGTGTGGCCTGGAGGATTCTGGGTAACAGACAAGAAGGCGCTTGGGCTGGGCCCCGGGGGATTGTGGGTAACAGAGAAGGGGACACTGGGGCTGGCCTCCAGGAGGTTTGTGGGTAATTGCGAAATGGGGGTGGGGGCTGGAGCTGGGCCGGCCCCTGCTGGGCGGGGTCGAGGCTCCGCGTGCCGCAATCCGCGGCTTTCCGAAGGGGCGGGGCTAGCCGAAGGGGCGGGGCAAAGGGCCCAAAAGGCGGGTGGGGAGCGGCGGCGCCGGCCGTGAGGTCAGAATGGGCGGGGCGCGCTGTCGGGGGCGGCCGTGCGCGTGGCGGGGCCACGTCCCCTGCGCGAGGCCGTGGGAACCGGAACCGGAAGCGCCGAGCACCGGCTGGTTTCCGCGGGGCCGCGAGCTGGGAGCGTCTCTGGCGGGGCGCCCCGGCCTGGGTATCGGGCGGGCGGCGCTGGGCGGCGGGGCGGGCTCGGGGCCGCGCTGGGGGAGCCGGGCCGGGGCCGGGGCCATGTCGGGGAACGGCAAGACCCGCCTGCCGGACAGGTGAGACCCGTCCCCTCTGCCCCGGCCTGGGCCCGCTCGGTTGGGCCTCAGCCTCCGGCCTGGGACTCCTGCGGGTGTGGGGGGGTGTTCCCTGGAGCCCCTCCCCCCGCTTCTTTCGAAATGGTGCCGCGTTGACAGCAGCCTTCTCCCTCCCGCCACCCCGACTAGGGAGCTCTTGGTGCCCCCGCCCCCTCTCAGCTCCTGGCCACTTGGCGCCTCGCTTTCCGGGGGAGATCAGGGACTTGAAATCCCCCTTTCCCCTGTTCCCCGAATCCACTGAGCCGAAGCCTTCTGAGATCTTGCCCTATCTGCGTGGGGGGGGGCCCTTCCCTGCTCTTCAAGTGCATCCCCCATGTCAGCCACAGCGTGAGGGCTGGACACCATCGTAAGGGAGCCTTTGTCCGTATTTGTTTCCTTCGGGAGGCTGCCTGTGAATTGTATGAAATCATTGGCGAGACTGTGCCGTGAAATCAAAACGCCAATAAGTTTTACTCTCGCGTTTATCATGTGTAACCCTGCGCTGAGTGCAAAACGCTGTCTGAGCTGTGGCTAGCGTCTCCCCGGTGATTTGCATTTCTGATGACTATTTCACTACTTGTACATGTGCCCAATAGAATGTGGGGAGGGGCAGGGGGTTGAAATAAGTGTGACTTGGCCTGTTCTAGTTTTTTCCCTTGGCAATAAACTGATTTTGCAATTTACAGCAAGGGGGTTGCAGCACTAATATCAATAGCTGGGCCTAAATTATCTTGAGAAGGGCTCCATCAGTGACACTAACTGATCTGGGTTAGTTGACCCAAAGAAATTGGGATTTGGTAATAAATCTGTATTCTTTTGGAAGAAGCCTTTCCAGCAGGAAGGAAATAGAGCTCAGTAAAAGGGAGGCATGGGATGAAGACCGAATGTAAAAGGCAAGGGCTTGTCTACACCATGCAGCTTTTAGAAAAGTCAGCGTGCGTAATCGCTCTTTGTGAGTACTTTGTTGGCACTTTTGCCGACCAAATACTTTCAGCCCCACGAGTGGCATTAGCTTTGTCGGCAGGAGAGTGCGCCTGCCGATAAAACCGGGTTCACACTGCTACTTGCATCAGCAAAACCTTTGTCTTTCACCGGGGGGGGGCTTTAAGTACCTATGGAAGACAAAAGTATTGTCGACAACTTCGCAATGTAGACATTCCCCAAGATTCCACCTATGGGAAGTTGTGGCATTAATCATAACATTTCTCTTCTAGATGGACCGACTATCTCCCGCTTGGACAAAGAATGCCGGGTACTAGGTTCATCGCTTTCAAAGTTCCTTTAAAAAAGGTAAGTGAGAGATGATTGAGTTTGGCCTCTTTTTGGGTCATTTCGGGTCTGCAGTTTTTAACTGTAACAGAAAACATGGACTTAGTGATCTCAGAGTAGGGATTTTTCAAAGATGTTAGGGTTGGATGTGTTGAGGGGAGAACTTTATTCCAATGTGTGCACTCTTTGAGAGGAACTTATCTGAACATGCTGGCAATTCAGACCAGGTCTACACCACAGAATTCTGTCAGGGAATCACACCTCTTCACACTCCATCACCAACAGCTGGCCAGCAGAAGCCTCTAGTGTAGATGCAATTATACCAACTACACTTCTATGGGTATACTTTCACTTGTGTGGGACAGTTTTATGATATCATAACGCACAGCTTTGTCAGTATAACTGTATCCACACAAGGAGTGCTTTGCCCATATGGTGTACTGTTATTCCCATACTGGTAAAGTAGTCCTGGTGTAAACACAGCCTAAATTTGATTTATGCTAAATGAAAACACAAAGGAAAACTTGGAGATTATAACTTTTTGGGATAGAAAATAGAAGCCTGATGGGACCATTACCCTTTAAAACTTCAGGAGAAGTAAGCTCAGAGTTAAAGCTACTGCAGTGTTTATATTGCTTTATATTGCTACCATTGTGCTTTAAGTAACAGCTCATGGAGGTTTCTCACCAAGCTTGTTGAGCATGAGTGTCCAGATGTTTAGAGATGGTATTCATCCATGGCTCTGAAAACTTGCGCCATAGGTGATTTTATGTGGCATGTCTAGGCACAGTGGGGCTGGTTTTTTTGGTATCCTTCTGCTATAAAGTATTGTGGGATAGTGAGTTCCACATATGGAGCATTTTAACCTGGTAACTCCCATTCAAATGAATTCCATGTATCATTTGGATGGACATCAGAGAGCTTCTTAAAAAAAAAAAACCTGACATAAATGTGGCAATCTGCATCAAAGAAGATTGTGCCTTCATCGCTTCAGATGGAATCTGGAAATTAAAAATAGATCATGACGTATTTGCTGTGTGCTAAATTTAGCTGTTTCTGACAGTAATGTTGAAAGATCTTTCTCCACTATAAAGATACATGTGACTAATCACTCCTTTAAATATGCAGAACTGTCTTGGACTGTAATCTAGTACATTTGATTCAGCAATCTGTCTCCCTTGATCTTTCTACTAGTCCCAATGCTTTCAAATTAATAGCCAGTGAATTACATGAAGGATATTCCTACTGGCTCACCTCATTCACCTGGAGTACCCAGCTACTAAGGTGTTTGTCCTCTTTATCAGTATAAGTAGTAGCTGTTATTCCTTTATCAGAAATCTCTAGATGACTGTGCTTTATAGTTCCTTGTTGCCTCCTTTTGATAGTGTCTCAATTGCTATGCTGAGATTTTCATCGATTTATTTCTTTACCATGCTTGCGTATTTAAAAAGGCTTAGGATGTTAAACTTGTGAATACTGACCGTTGGCCATACGATTGGCACCAGCAGCAACATTCAGAGGTGAACCTCCACCTCTTTAGATGCATTTCTCTGCCATTTGTGTATCCTCTTAAGATTACTGTTAGCTGTGTCTAGATGTAGAGAGCTCCAATCACTGTAGTGTGTGGTTTCAGAGTAACAGCCGTGTTAGTCTGTATTTGCAAAAAGAAAAGGAGTACTTGTGGCACCTTAGAGACTAACCAATTTATTTGAGCATTGGGATTCTTGGAACACAGCTGAGCAGTCTAATGCACTAATGTCAGGGAGAAGATGCTTTCAATAGATCAATATCAAGGCGCTTCAGTATTTAATGTATCTGCATATACCTGAGGCCTCTTTCTGTTTGGTACCTGGATTCTGACACCATCTACCTTTTTAGGGAGTACACCATTATGCTGTGGGTCGGTGGGGTGCATGGGAACTCCCCTCCCAAAGCTGTTGTGGGGTGTTTAAGTGCCTTGAGATTCTTGGATAGGGTGCCACAGTTGTGCACAATATACTATTAAATATTATTTCTCGCCAGAGTTTTGAATGGAGACTTGCCCCAAAAGACAGATTTTCTCCTTTTGACCTCCTTAAGAAAATTAGAGAACAGAAAGAAGAACTTGGCATGATCATTGATCTAACATACACAACACGCTATTATGGACCAGAGGTAAGTTAGGATGCAACAACTATCCTAGGCCCAAGTACTTCTGCTCCCTCACGGAGTATTCTATGGCACATTGAGCATGTCGGTTAGCCTCTCTGTGCCTCAGTTTCCCATCTCACAGTGTCATTGGGAGGATTAATCCATTGAAAATTGAGACTCAGATACTGTAGTAATGGGGGTGGGGGGAAGATTGTGCCTGTGTGGATCTGAAAGCAGGATCAGGGCCTAAAAATCCTCACTATGCCCAAGTGAATGAAGTGGGCTTCAAATTTCTCTGAATATGGTGGACTCTGTAAGTGACTATGTGTTACCATGGTCTGTCATTTCACACTCTCAGCACCGCTAAACAAAGGCTTCCGAATTCCAGTTCAAACTATTATTTATTGGTGACATTAATTACCTGGAAACAGTTGTTTCAGATACTCCCCTTGCCCTTCTGCTACATGCACTTTGTTTTGTAAAAGACAGATGAGAAGGAAACCTGGGACAAACAAGAAACAATAGCAAAGGAATGTGTGGGTCAAAAGTGTTTTTGATGGTACCTCACAGTTGTCACTAGGAGGACTAAGTGGGCTATCAGATCTTGCATCTTGGTAGTCACTTGTGAATCACTGTTACTAAATATGGGCTGTGTAAAGTCTCCATAATAGTCTAGTGTAAAACTACTCTAGTTCAGAACTCTTTATGGTGTGTGTTTTATTTGAGCCCTTACATCAGTTTTGGTTTGCTGGAAGAATAGTTTCAGGCAAATTTTACTCCATGTACTTACACATAATTGTATTTAAGCACTTCTGAGAGATGCATGGTAAAACTGACAATATGGTGCTGTTGTAACTTACCTGAGTTATTGCGGAGGATTTCACTTACCAGACTAAAATCTCACAGGCACCCTTTCAGGTTTAGTTTTTAAACTATAGAAGCATTTCCTTTCTATAAAGCACGTGGTCCCCTTTCAGTGATGGGAATGTTTGGTTTTATGCTTCATACAAAAATGTATTGGATTCCCCTGGTTTTTTTAGGAGCTACCAAAGACACTGTGCTACTCCAAGATCTTGACGGTTGGACACGAAGTACCAGATAACGAAACAATTTTTAAATTTAAATGTGCCGTGAAAGAGTTTTTACGGGAGAACAGAGATAACGGTGAGCATAGGTTGCCTCTAATTTAATTTCTAATGCGTGTCAATGTCACTTCCTTACAGATACTGTGTATGTGCCTTATGTTAAGCATTAACCCAGGTTTACACTCCTCAGAACTCTGCCATAAGGCTGCTCTCATATGGTCTTTATGTTCCTTGTGCGATGTGCCCATGTTTTCTCCTAAACAAGATTTGTGTTGAAATTGTGTGACCTGACTGGTTTTTTTATAAGCAAGAGTTGAATAATTAGTGATAATTAGCCATAAATGCGAGCTTGTCTTTAAGCAGTGTTGTAGAGATGTTAATTTGTTTACGTTGGCGTAATCTGTGAATGATTAACAAATGTAATCAGGTTTGCTTCCTTCTCCTTTCTGATGCACACTGCCTGCCTGAAAATGAACACTATCTTAAAAAACATAACTTGAATTTCCTGTCTCATAGATAAACTCATTGGAGTTCACTGCACGCATGGCTTAAACAGAACTGGTTACCTCGTTTGTAGGTGAGTCACCTTAAACTCTTGTAGCTGAGCTGCGCTAGATGGGTATTTCTCTAGTAGCACAAGGGATGGGAAAATTACTTATCCAATGTCTGCCTCACTATACCTAATCCTGGACTCTAATGTAAAGTGCACTGGTCAAGGGCTTAGTGACCGTATAAAATCTTGGATTTCATGAACAGAGCAGGATTAGAAGTTCTCTGAGCAGATATGTATGGATGCTCTCAGGGCATATACGTTTTTTGTGCATGAGCCTTGGTATAGCAATCAGAAATTTACCTCTGCCATAAAAGCTGTGAGTATTTCTGTAGCCCATCATGGCCTGTAAATACATAATCTTAAAAAAAGCATCCAGAGAGATAAAAGTTTGTCTTTTCATTCTTAAGCGTTATTCCCATAATTAGAGCTCATGTATTATGTTGCTCTATTCAGGTACCTAATTGATGTTGAAGGCATGGAACCAAATGTCGCTATAGAGTGTAAGTAATAAGGAGATCACTGTGTTTCCTGTTTCTTTTATGGGGCGAAACACTGGCTAGTAGCTTACATTCAAAAGGTTCTAGGCTCTTGGAGAAGAGCGCAGAGGGAGAACTTGTAAGAAGTTTTGCACTATAGGAAAATGTAAGATTGGGAGAGTGGATGGATAATAGGAAATGGGAGGGCAAAGAGGAAGAGATTTATTGTGATGATGGATTGATTTTGCTACAGTGCCCTTGGAATCCATCTTAAGCCAGACTGATGTCAGTGGATCACTGGATTTGAAACCCAGGTGACTTATGGGTAGGCGTGCAAAGGAAATTGAGCAACATTCTGCTCCATTGCCAATCCATCTCATTGCGTCTCTTACTGTAGAACAGGGGTAGGCAAACTTTTTGGCCCGAGGGCCACATCTGGGTATGGAAATTGTGTGGTGGGCCATAGGCAGCAACTCCATGGGTGCTCTGGGGCTGGAGCACCCACGGGGAAAAATTAGTGGGTGCTCTGCACCCACCGGCAGCCAAGCTCCCCGCCCCGCCTCCTCTCCTGAGCACATGTTCCCACTCTTCCGCCTACCTCCCAGCACTTGCTGCCGCCAAACAGCCGTTTGGTGGCGTAGCAAGCTCCAGGAGGGATGGGGGAGGAGCAGGAACATGGTGCACTCAGGGGAAGAGGTGGGGGGAAGGGGTTGGAGTAGGGGCAGGGACTTTGGGGAAGGATTTGGGATGGGGAGTGGGGCAGGGCAGGGGGCAGAAGGGGGTCGAGCACCCACTGCCACGAGTAGAAGTCAGCGCCTATGTGGTGGGTCATGAATGCTCATGACATTGGGGGTTGGGGTGCGGGTGCTGGGGGTGAGGTTTCTGGCTGGGGGTGCGGGCTCTGGGGTGAAGGAGGGTGGGATCGAGGGGTTCGGAGGACAGGACGGGGCTCAGGACTGGGGTAAGGGGTTGGGGCGTGGGAGGGGGTGAGGGGTGGAGGCTCCAAGTGGTGCTTACCTCAAGCAGCTCCCGGAAGCAGCGGTATGTCCCCCCTCTGGCTCCTACGTGGAGGCGTGGCCAGGCAGCTCTATGCACTGCCCCATCCACAGGTGCTGCCCCTGCAGCTCCCATTGGCCCCATTTGCTGGCCAATGAGAGCTGCAGGGGTGGCGCTTGGGGCGGAGGCAGTGTGCGGAGCCCCCTGGCTGCCCCTACGTGTAGGAGCCAGACTGGGGACATGGTGCTGCTGCTTCCGGGAGCCGCACGGAGCAGGGCAAGCTCCCGACCCCAGTCTCTGGCAGGAACTTAAGGGCTGGATTAAAACGTCTGAAGGGCCAGATGCGGACCCCGGGCTGCAGTTTGCCCACCCCTGCAGTAGAACCTCAGTTACAAACACCTTGGGAATGGAGGTTGTTCGTAACTCTGAACAAAACATTATGATGGTTCTTTCTTTCAAAAGTTTACAGCTGAACATTGACTTAATACAGCTTTGAAACTTTACTATGCAGAAGAAAAATGCTGCTTTTAATCATGTTAATTCAAATGAAACAAGCAGAGTTTCTTTACCTTGTCAAATCTTTTTTTATACCTTCCCTTTATTTTAGTAGTTTACGTTTAACCCAGTACTGTACTGTACTTGCTTTTTTGGGGGTGGGTGGGTCTCTGTTGTTCCGTGATTGCGTACTTCTGGTTCCAAATGAGGTGTGGGGCTGACTGATCAGTTCATAACTCTGGTGTTCATAGCTCTGTGTCTCTTCTTTATAAACAAGAGAAGACCTGCTCTGCCCAATGGGTCATTCATGCAACCATGAGCTGTCATCAAAGGGACATAATGTAGAAATGGAGTTGCACCTTGATGATAACATCATCAATGGCATCAAAATGGCATCAAAACATCAAACATCAAAACATCAAAACATCAAAATGGCATCTGTTCGTTCCAGTCTGCATCTCTCTTCTGTACCTTAAAGGACATCTTCCTGATATCCAACCTTCTGATACCGAAATGCTTAACCTGTGCTCATGTGACCTTAACTGAATTACTGTAAATGAGTTGGGGTGTGCTCAGTGTCAAAACCAAGGGGTTAAAATAATTCTCAGAGTTCTTTATTACTGCTAATACGGTGTGCGTCTTCAGTGCTTTGCCAACACATGATCTGCCCCCTGTCCTGAGTAGCCTAGTGTAAAATATTTATGTATAATGGTGTTTTGTAACTTAACTCTTCCCTCCTCATAGTGTTCAACAGGTCGCGAGGGCATTCTATAGAGAGGAAGAACTATATTGAGGACCTTCAGAAGGGCCCCATCAGAATGTAAGTCACTGTTTCTACATATGTTTGTGTCTGGGTGCTAGAATGAAGACTAGTTAGCTCATGTCTGCTATTTAATGGACCTGAGTTTAGCTTTTTCACTCCTGTTAGCTGATGAAGAAGCACGGATTAGTGGATAGGGAAAAGGACTGGAAGCCAGGAGATCTGGGCTCTGTTCCACATTCTGCTGGTGACCTTGGGCAAGTCACTCTGCCTCCCAATACCTCAGTTTCCCCATCTCTAAAATGGGGATCATGCCCACTTCTTGAAGTGGTTTGAGGTGCAATTATAACTGAGACCATAAAGAGTATAAAAACTTCCCTGCAACTTCATTGAGCGATTCTGTAAATTTGGGCTGTGCTAATGGAACGTTTTTGTTTAAGGAACCATGCTGCAGATGGACAAGGATTTGATTTGATCAAAGGACAAAGCAGCATGGCACCAAATTTGGATTTCCAAGTAGCTGGACATCATCTGTATTCAGAACAGCTCCCCCTGGCAGACAGCTGGTTGGTATTTAGTTTGGGTCTGGTAGAGTGGATTGGATCAAGGGAAAAGGTATATTTGTGAAAGTGACAAAGGTAAATAGGCACACAAGATTGCAAGCCAGGCACTCAAGTTCGAATCTTGGTCCCAAAACTCACTTTGTTTAGGAACTGAGTTTAAACTCAGTTGCTAAGACTGTTTCAACCATAGTATGGACAAGACCTATTGATCTGGCTGCTACTGTGGCAATTAGTTAAATTTTGCACTGTGCCTACATACATTGTGGGAGGTGCATAATAAATGAATGTAGGGGTAATGAAATAGTTTTACTACTCTAAGATACCTTAGCACAAAGAAGGGCCCTACCCTATGATTTGGACTTCAGTGACTCTTGTGCAGAATTGCTTTTCACTCATAATAAGACTGTAACTCTTCTCCTGCTCTTAGGCTCTTCCCTTCTTGGCGAGGAAAAAGAGAACAAAGGTAAATGGCTTCCTCTTTACTCCTGGGACGTAGGCATTTGCACTTCCTCCTGTCAAGTGTCATGTCACGACATGATACCACATCTGCACCTCCCACTTCTTAAGTAACCCTCTCTAATCCTTGCTTCATGGATCTGTGGGTGAACTTCCTTTTCCTAAATCGTAATAGATTATTGGGCTGAATTTAATTCTTCCATAGTTCATGATTTGGGGGTTACAAACGTATCTGGTTCGCTTTTGTAAGTTGAAGGAGATACCCGTACAAGAATGCTCTTTAAGAGCTCAATCTGTTACACTGGAAGGTTCAGTTCTGTATTATGTATGGTTGACAATCAAACGAAAGTGGCCAGGGGAATGTTTCATACCCTTTAATTACTCCTTCTGGGCCAAAATATGGGGGGCAGGAGGGTTATTCCTCCTGTTAGGACAAACTAAAGGGGGTGGGAGGCAGGGGAAATACTTTGTGAAGACTTCTTGTGCTACAGTTGACTTGCATAAAAGAGGTAGGCCGTAGTAATACTTGACTCCCACTTTAGGGTACTGTAAAGCTTCATGTTTGTAAAAGATCTTAGCATTTTTCCTCTGTGGAGCTATGTAAATGCAAAGTATTAAGAGACTGAGAGTCTTAGCATGATTTATAGGACCTGTCAAAGTACAATTGGTGCCTCGCGAGTGCAGTTTATCTCTGGTGTGGCTTAGGAGCTTCAAGAGCTGAGATATCAGGAACAGGGCTCAGCCATCCAGGTAAATGATCTTGATCTTTCTTTTTCAGAGCCCTGTACCCTGTCAGGAATTTCCACGGAGTTTACAACCATGGGAGATCTGCTTATTACAAGGAATATGTCCCTACAGCCAACCTGGCCCAGCAAACACCCCCTTACAACTTGGGACCTGTCAACTACCCCATTCCCCTACCTTATAACAAACAGTATAATGGTTACAACGGACCATACTTTCCAGTGCAAAATCCTTACCATATACACCAGGAAATGTATAAAATGAAAACCTCCAGAAGACCCAAAAGGAATGACTATACAAATTGATGTGAGGGTCTCATCTGGTGGAAGAACTTGGAAGTCCGCTATATGGAGTACACTCTGTGGGTTTTTAATCTAGAAGCTTTATTCAAGAATGAGTCTTTTATTCCTTCTAATCCCTTTGCTGTGGTGCCCATTGCTGGCCAAGTGCCAGTCAGGAAACACAAAGGAAGGAATCATTAATTTTAATATTGAGACTGTTTCTAAAAGTTTTATTTTTCCTAACCACCTTCATAACAAACCCTCACCTTTTTACTGTATTAAAATATTGTGACATCCATGTAACAATGACTTATAGAGTTCTAAATGGACACCCAGGATAAACATGGACCCAAACTGAATAGGTGGTTCCCATGAGAAATGTTGTGCATTGTTTAAACTCTAAGGGAATTGTGTTTTAAACAAATGCCTTCCCCTGCAGTTGTTTATAACCAAAGCATAGCATGGCAATACCTGGAAAGGTAACCACAGTGAAACTGAATAGTAGAGCTGGCCAGAGATCAGCCTTTCCGTCCATGAAGAAAACTCAAATTTTTGAGAACTTTCATCCCAAAGGTCAAATTAAAAAAAACTTCATGGGAAGGAAAGACTGAAAAAATCCCACTTTATTGATTTCCCACAGAATTCTATGGCTTGCTGCCCAGCTCCCTATGAAGTCTGATTTCTGGTTGCCTGTTTTCCATCACAAGATCTGTCTAAATTTGTGGGTTTCTACACAATGTTTCAATTTTGATGAATTGGCATTTTGCCAAAGGAAAACCCCCCTGGAAAACTTAGGACCAGATCTACTTAATAGCCTAATTTTTCCATTGTCCAAGAGGAGTAAAATCTAGCGTAATCACTTTCATTTTACATTGTTTTAAACATGTTTTTAACCTTAGTATTCTCCTAAATGTAACAGGTGAGGGACTGGGTGGCTCTAGGAAGCCCGAAGGTTGGTTGTTCGGATCCAGTCCAGATTGAAATTGAATGTCAGCAAGGTCATTGCTCCTTATTCACTACCCATGAAACAGGTTTCTGCTGCAGACCACCATGGATATCACTCTATGTGGCAGTCTCGCAGAGGCCAAGGATGGAAATAGAGACTCCCTCCTTACTGCAGAGCTGATCAGTGTGGAGGCACATGGTCATTTATGTCCATGAGACTTGCATTCCTGCTCTGTGGAGAAACAGAGGAGCCTGATCTCCAGGGCTTTCAGCCTGGCACCTCTTTTTACCAGCACTATATTCAAGGATGTTCAAAGCAATTTGCTCATGCCCTTTAAGGGAGGCTAACATAATGGTCCTAGTTCTGTGAGAACATGGGAAAGATAGTGTCACTTAAGCTTTGTCTTCACTGCTTAAAAAGGGAATTTCTTTGCACCAAGATAAATGCAGGGCTGTTCTTAATGTAACATCCTAAGTGGAGACAAGGCACTTGTGTTTTCTTGGAGGTGGTTGGGTTTAGCAGGTCAGTACCTTTCCTAGCTGCTGTGGTTTCTATTCCTGGCTCTTTCTGATGTGCTGTTTGACTTTGTACTTAACTTGCCTGTACTTCATTTTCCTCATCTGTAAAATTGGGTTATTTCCCCACACCCATCTTTGTAAAATTATTTTAAGATCATTGGATAGAAGGAGTTAAAAGGCTAGCTCAGGACTTTTTGTGCAGGATGTTGGCATTTGGAGTTTACTGTGCTGGAGAAATGGGACTGTTATGAGAGTGTGGTATATTAAAAATTTTTTTTGCAAGGAAAACACTTGGCTCATGAGCTTTAAGCCATTGTGGCATAAAGTGCCCCCCTTTTCAAGGAAAGAATGCAGGGGAGGGAGAGGGTAAGAATACAGTCTGCAAATTATTTTTACTCAGCCCCTCATCTAGTGGTATTTATGGTACAACTTAAGCATGTATTTGCATGTCTCTTGGGGGTGATCTTTTGCTGAAATATGGGATGAAATCCTTTTTGTACTGAATATGGTGCTGAGGTGTCCCCTTTCAACATTTGTCATGCAGCTGGGGGAGCCTGGCTTGGGCACACAGTTTAGGCCTTGCCCTTGTACGGGGCCCTGTGGGGCAGAAATCGAACCCCAGGTCTTTGGCACCAGGCCCTGTGGCTGCCTGAGCCATGGCGGGAGCTGTAGGGCTGTGAGGTTGTGGCAGGTAGTGGGGGCAGCTGTGGGCAGGTGCCATGGGCACAAGGAGGGCAGCCCCTGTCTAGGCAGGGCTAAGCCCTTAATACAACCGCCAACGCCATTAATACACCCCCACCTTATTCCGCTTAGAGGCTGCGGCCCCTTTAAGAGACTACTCCCCTCCCTCCACAAGATCTCATAACAGGCATGACTTCACTTCCTGTCCCCCTGCCTCCACCAAGATGGCCGCCTGCGGCTCCCGGACCGGCCAATAAAGTTTGCCGAGAGGAAAAAAGGTAGCGACCCCAATCCGGATAGCGGGGGTTCACTGAGACGACCCGGATGTGGAGACGCCGTCTGGTTGGCTGTTGAGAGCGAGGTGGGCCCGCCCTCTCTAGGCCGGAATAGAGCTTTTTCAGAAGGGGCGTGGCCCGTAGCCCAGAGCGAGGCTGAGGGAAGCCCAGCCACCCGGAAGTGGAGTTGGCTCTGGGCTGCGGGCGCCCCCCGCGCCCCCCCCCCCGCCTCCGTGGGGCTGAGAGGACCCGCGGCCGCCCCCGCCCGCCTGAGGCCGCGGCCCCCGCGGAGCGTCGAGCTGCCGGTCAGGCCCGGTCCGCGGCGGGGGGCCTAGGGGCGCCCGGGGGTGGGGCCGGGGCCGGCCCTGGGGGAGGGGCGCTGAGCAGAGCCCGGCCCCGCCCCGTCTCTGGGGTTGTGGGGGGGCGTGAGACCCCCTCGGCCTGTTCCCCCTGCCCGGGGGATGGGCCCGGCCCACTTGCGGCGGGCGGGGCCTTCGCTGAGCCCCCCCGAGCCCCCTGCCCCCCCTCAGCGTGCCGACCGCTGCCTCGCCGGGGCCGGGGGGCCCCCCACCCTGGGGGCAAGGCCGGGGGCGAGTTTGAGAGCGGCCCCCAAAAGACAAAGCGGGGGTAGCCTGGGTGAGCCCCCCCCCCCGCCCTGGCCGCGTGTCCGGGGCACCCGTTCCCACCTCCCAGGGCGGCGGCCTCACAAAAGGGGTGACCCTGGGAAACCCTGGGCAGGTGGCGACCCTGCCCCCCACGCGTGGGCCCTTGTCCCGAAGCCTGTCCCTCCCCTGTGCCTTCCGCCTGTGGTGAGCAAGCTGTGTCTGATCAGGCTGCCTAACCCCCCCCTCATACGGTAAAGGCGTATTCGTCTATACAGGGGAGTGAACTGAAACTCCCTTTGTAGCGAAGTGGGATGAAAGCCCTGAATAATCGGGGGGGTTGCGAGGTGCAGATTGGAATTTGACCGCCAAGGCAGGTATGTGGGAGAAATGATTTCACTCTACGCCTGGTTCTGCAGGCGCTGGACAGAGTTCAACTCTGCTCCTGAACAAGCGTTTCCCTTGTTCTTGCCTGATGGAGCTCAGCACTCTTCAGCCTTCGGTCCTGAAAGGGGATTCCACTCTCTTATGTTTATAAGATGAACAGAGTATGAGATGTTTAAGGGCCAAATCCTACAGCCCTTATTTAGGAAAAATTTCCATTGAGTTCACTAGGCGTTTTGGCAGAGTGAGGACAAAGAACTGCAGGATTTGAGGCCTTCAAAAGGGGCTCTTGCATGAAAGTAAAGCTGTAAATGACACTTCTTTTGCCTGTAGCCCTTCACATCCCCAGGTCCCTGTTGTCTCTGATCAAGACCTTTCCCCTTGTTTAGTGGGAGGATGCAAGAAATCATAATGCAGGGATGGTGGCAGTCACGTTGCTGAGGGATTTACAGGATGTTACAGATCCAGCACTATGATTTCACTGAAGGTTTAACCCATAAACTGACTAGTTCACAGTGGGTGATACTTGGAAACTATCTGTTTTTAGGAGTTCAGGTGGCTAGTATCTGCCAGGAAGCAGAGAGGGCGGTCTCCATCAACTGGGCGGTGACACAGGTAAGGATTCTTGTGTGAAAGCGTTCCATTCTGCGGTGCTTCCTGAACCCTTTGCAGTGCGTTCTGCCTCAGGCTCCTGAAATTATCATTGGGAACCAGAAAGGAGGAAGGTGGTCATTCAGGAATGTGTTTGAAGGGGCCCGGATGGAAGAAGAGGGTGGGATCTGGCATTGCTAGAGTGAAGAGGGTGTTTGCAGGAGCCAGGTGGGATCATGAGCAGGGTGGGTTGGATGGGGTACTGTGCTTTCTGGTTGATAAAGGGAGATTCTGCAGATTCTTGCTGTTTATTTAGGTATCATGTATTCTGTGGCAGCGATTGCCATGGAATCAGAACACTGAATGAGAATGTGTCACTTACCTGTAGGAGACACTCCATAACTTGGTTTCTTACAGTGACTGGGGGTAGGTGACTGATTCTTCTTCAAGTGTCTTGAGACATGATTGTTTAAGGGGAAATGCTTGTTTAAAGAGGAGTCTTGCAAAACACCCTGACAGTGGATTCAGGCTCAGTCTGATCTCTCCTAAAAACTTTAATCTGGGTAACTGGGGCTCAGGTAATCCCAAATGAATTTCTGCCCCCAAATCAAAAATGCATGTATCTGAAAAGTGAAGCTCTGAAGAGAGCTTGGCTGTTCCTAGGGTTCCTCCCTCAGGACTGCTCAGCCCACACACTATATTCCCTTTCCTAGGAAAGCCACTCCCACCTCCCTTATGTCCCGGTAGGGATATGTCCCTGATAAATTTGGATATAGAGAATATACCAGGATAATGTCTATTTCCATGCATTGTGTTCATTCTCTCTCTAGCCTGTTGGCCCTCATGCCTGACCACACAGATGTCAGCCTCCTTCCAGAGGAGCGAGTTAGGAGGCTGATCCAGATGGGGAGCTCTGTGGAGGTGAATGAGGATGTCCCGCCACGGCGGTATTACCGCTCTGGGCTCGAAATCATCCGCATGGCGACGATTTATTCTGAAGAAGGCAACATTGAGCGCGCCTTCATACTGTACAACAAGTATATCACGTAAGGGCTCCTTTGCCTTGCATGGGGATAACTTATCTTAAGCTCTTTGGGGCTGTTGTTTTATCTTGGATGTTATGCACCATACATTACAATCCAGGAGAGACTAGGAGTCAGGAGAGCTGGGGTCTGTTCCAGACTCTGCTGCTTGCTCCCTGTGTGACCTGGGGCAAGTCATGTCCCTGCTCTGTGCCTCAGTTTCCCCATCTGTAAAATGGGGGTGACGACCCTTACCTGCCTCTTCACAATGAATGAAAAGCACTACATAGGTGCCAAGTATTGCTATCATTGAATGGTTAGACCAAGGGATCAGTGGTCAGCTTTAAAGTCCAACATCTCCCAAACCATCCAGGCTAGAAACATTCTCTCTACCACTGGGAAGCTTGAGTTAACCCTTAAAGAACTGAACAAGTATATGGTCGCTTTATCTTTCTTCCTCTTTGCCACTCCCAGCTGCTTCTTCCTCCTCACTCAATGCCAGGCTCCTATCTCTGACAGAACCCCCTTACCCTAGAGCAGTTCTCTCCTGCTGCCCTGTCCAGCTTAATGCTCTTCTCATTCTCATCCTCCTTGGGTGTGCATTCTCATCTGACCTGGCATTTACTGGCCAATGAGTAGAAACCAGCAACAGATTTTGTGGTCTGGGCTTTGGGACAGGGTTGGATGTTGGGGCTTCCTTTGTTGGACTGCAGGTGAATAGCACTCAAGATCTTAACTTACCTCTTCTCTATGACCGCTGGCATAGCTCTCCCTGGTGCACCAGCACAATCTTAGCTGTGGTGGGGGCCAGGGTTTATTGCTGTCCCAGGCAAACTGGGAAATGCCCTCTCCTCATCACTCAATCACTAAATGTTCTGCTGCTGAGGCCCCTGGTCAGCTGGTACTGTCAGCCTTTGCTCCTCCTCCTGCCAGGTGACTGCAGCATTTTCTAAGAGTCTGGGAGTAGGGGCCTTTCCCAATCAGTTCTGAAACAGTCCACACATGGCATACGGTCGGTTTACCTCTTCCTGGGGTTTGCTTTTGTTGGCAAATAAATTAACAATCAGAAAGTTTGGCTCAAGCCAACCTCCCTGGCTTGCCTGCTGCTCCAGTTTCTCCATCAGGACTGCTCAGCCCGCATGCAAAATCCCAACTCCCCTATATTGAGGTGGGGATCGTGAGTCCTCTGCCTCAGTGAGCCCATTTCTCCCTTTCAGCACGTGCTGACAAATGTCAGCCTGTTACGGGGTTAAAATGTAAAATGCTCCCTTTAAAGTCACAGGTTAGACTTGATTATGCCTCTGACCTATAAAGACTTATCTCTGCACTGCAGCCATATGGCGTGAAGTACAACAGTGTCTCCTCAGCGTGGTCTTTGCAACCCTGGTTTTGAATCTGGTGCATTGTGATCCTCCTTCTCTGCTCTGGATTATCAGGGAGAGACTCTTCCTTGTCCCCACGTTCAGATGTCACCAGCTCCTCTCTTGCGGCCATGCTGTACATAGGGGCAAGGGTCATATCTCTATAGAGCGTCATGCCATGGCGGTTTCCAAATGTAACTATGTTGGGTGACCCAGCACTGAAATGCACCCACCCCTGGGGTGAAACCTGACAGCTGCTTAGCACCAAGCTGTGAATAATACCTTCTTGGAGTGCCTGGGATTTTTACCAAGGATCAGAGGCTCATTTGAAAGGCCATGCCCTCACTAGTGCTGCACAGAGGACTCTGGTTC